GTGTGTAAATTGATATAGGCTCAACATATACGTTCATATTAAACCTATTTTCACATTAGTCATATTGTAAAGAAGCATTAGAACCAATGGCAGAAACCACGAGAAAGAAGAAACAAAAAAAGAGAGAGAAAGCAAATAATATGCTTCCATCTGCATTCAGACTCCATAGTTCTTTTTCTGGATGTGGACAGCACTTTCCACCAGGAGTCCTTGAAATTGTCTTAGGTCCCTGCATTGCTAAGAAGAGATAAGTCTATCAAAGTTAGTCATCACACAGTGTGGCTATTACTGGGTACAGTGTTCTCCTGGTTCTGCTCACTTCAATCAGCCTCAGTCCATACGAGTCTTTCCAAGTTTTTCTGAAGTTTGCCTGCTCATCATTTCTTATAGCGCAATATTATTCCATTACATTCATATACCACAACTTGTTCAGCTAAATCTGGGACCGTGGCCTTTTCAAACTAAGGTCTTTAACAGGTCTCAGTTTGACTGAGGCAATACCTGATATTCAGTGATTAAGGAATGAGGCAAAGAATGGCCTCTTTTTAAAAAGAAAAAAATAGGAGCAGCTAGGTGGTGCAGTGGATAGAGCACCAACCCTGGAGTCAGGAGTACCTGAGTTCAAATCCAGCCTCAGACATATAACACTCTAGCTGTGTGACCCTGGGCAAGTCACTTAACCCCATTGCCTAGCCAAAAAAGAAAAAAAAAGATCTGGGAGAAGACCTTTAGGGTTTCTGGTGAAAGCAGAGACAATTGGTATTTACATGCATTCTGAGCCAATTATGACCCAAACAGTGACCTAGTAGGGCTTGGTCTGGGACCAGAGTGATTTGGGGTTAAGGCTGTTCTTTAAGAGAAAAAAATGAATTATTTAGTCTTTTTGTAAAGCAATATGGTAGCATCTGAAAGAGAGGTAAAACTGTTGGTATTGTTAACAGCATTTTTACTGAGCAAGTCTTTAACCTGAAAGTGATGAAATAGCAGGCCAGAGACAAAGTACCAGTAATTAGGTAGCTGTTCAATTAGTTTCATTATGAGGAACAAATTTCCAAATCGGGAATTATCCTGATCAGAATTCCATGAGTGGGAAGGAGGGGGAAGTTGGATTACAAACAGTCATTTCCAGGGCCAGAGTTGTTTCCCATGATCAGCCCACAAATCCCACAATCAGTAAGGTACAGGTGTCCTAAAGTTCTGTGGCAGCAGTATTGTTCAAGTATTTGGGGGTCGTGACTTGGTGGGTCACAGGTTCTATAGCCCTTGATTCACTTCACTTCAGATACACAGCCACAAGAAGCCAGTGATTTGAGCTTTGTCAAAGTTTGATCATTTTAAGCTGCGTTGTAAGTCTTGACTCAAGCTAGAAAAGGCAGTTCTGAGAATCACATCTATTAGTATATTCATTACACATATTGATTATTATGAAAATCATAATTCCACAGTATTCTTTGATGTACTGCTCTCTAACTAATAGAATCCTACCCAAAGATTATTATTCAAAGGAAAAAAGACCTAGCTCTACAAAAATCTTAATAGTAACATTATTTGTATCAGCCAAAAAAAAAAAAGGAAACAGGTGTTATGCCCCAAATATTGGGAAATTGGGTAGATAATTTGGTATGTGATTGTAGTGGAATACTGAAGATTTTACCGCTAGGTTTGTAGAGCTTGTGAGTTCTATACCCAGACATTGTACTGTTGAAAAATACAAAGACCAATATTTTATGATAAAATGTTTTGCAATTTTAATAGTTATTCTTTAACAAAATGGTAACCATAATGTTATTAATGTGATGAATGGGTTTGTTTTTTGGTGCAGAGTTTCTCAAAATATAATTTCATTCATGGTATTGTTACTCACTTTTTTAAACCACTAATTAAGATCATTATTATGTCTTTAATTTTTAAAATTTATTTTGTTAAATATTTCCCAATATAAAAAAATTTTTAACAATTGTTTTTTAAATTTTTGAGTTCCAAATTCTTTCCTTCTTGCCCCTCCCCCTTCCTTGAGAAGGCAAGCAATTTGATTTTGATTATCCATGTGAGGTCATGCAAAACATATTTCCATATTGGTCGTGTTGCAAAAGAAAACACAAACAAAAAAAAAGAATGCTTCATTCCATATTCAGAGTTCATCAGTTCTCTCTCTGGAGGTAGATAGCATTTTTCATCATGGGCCCTTTGGATCATTGTCTTGATCAGAGTAGCTAAGTTTTTCAGTTGATCATCCTTACAATATTGCTGTTACTTTGTAAAAGTTCTCCTAGTTTTTCTCACTTCACTTCACTTTTCATGAGTTCATATAAATCTTCCAGGTTTTTTGGAAACCATCCTGTTTGTCATTTCTTATGGCATGATAGTATTCTATCACAGTCATATAAACAGCTCATTTGGCTGTTCTCAATTGATGGCCATCCCTTCGATTTCCAATTCTTTGTCATTCCATATTACACAGATATATTATCAACTGAAGCAAAATTTGTGTATCACTTTGATAAATCAGAAAATTCAACATTCACTAGTAGTCAAAATATAGTAAGATTACTAGGTTACAAAGACTTATTTTAGTGTACTATCACAAAATAAGTGTTAACTGTACTCATTCAGATGAAATAAGAGTAAATGTATCAAATTTGGTCATGGCAAGATGGGTCCCTTATAGTTTCATATTTAGAAATATCTAGATCTTTATAAAATAAAATGAGAATTGCTTCTATTGATCAGTCAATAGAAGAGGGAGCAGAAATGGAGGATAAAGGTAATAAAGGTTCCTAACACATTATGTTGAAGTCAAGAAAGTCATCAATAAGACAGGAAAGGGAAGGAAGGAAGGCAGGCTAGCCTATACTGCTTCACAAAAATGGAGGCTCCAGGAGGAACTCATCAATAGGAGAAAGAAGATGGAGGGATATGCTATAGTGAGCAGCCCACAGGAGTTGATAGCATCTTTCAGGGCAAGGAGGACCCAGGTGTTGAAGGAAGTTCCAGAATGAGACAGAAGAGTAGAAGCATGATTTTGAAGTCCAGAAAGTCAGGATGGGCAGAGAAATGAGCATGATGTGAGAAAATAGAGGTAATGAATATGGCTTTTCAGTTATGAAGATCTGCCAATTCTATGTCCATAGCATCTATCAAAATTCATTTCATTATCTCTATTCTTATGAAACTACCCAAGAATATGTAATTATTAACATTTATCTGGACTATTATCAAAACCTCCTAACAAATCTTCCTGCCTCTAATCTCTTCTAATCTATTCCTTTGTGTGCTTCAAGAGTAATCTTCCTTGTGCATAGATTTGACCATGCCATTCCTTCCCTCAAAAACCTTTCAGGGGCTTTGAATTGGGTAATGATTATTTTGGAATTCCTTTGCCTGGTATTCAATGCCTTCTACATTCTGGTACCAGTCTGCTTTTTCAGCCTTACTTTATGTGATTCTGCTTCACATACTCTTTTGTTGCTGTTCATTCATTCAGTCGTGTTTGACTCTTTGTGACCCCATAGACCGTAGCACATCAGGCCCTTCTGTCCTCTACTATCTCCTGAAGCCTGTTCAAGGTCATGTTCGTTGCTTCCATGACATTATCTGTGCATCTCAACTTCTGTGGTTCCCTTCTCCTTTTGCTTTCAGTATTTCCCAACATCGGAGCCTTTTCTAGTGAGTCCTGTCTTCTCATTATGTGGCCAAAGCATTCAAGCTTCAGTATTTGTTCTTCCAGTGAGTAGTCAGAATGAACATACTCTGCTCCAGTTAAATTGATTATTCTCTGATTTACAAACTTACCCTACGCTTTCTTACATTGATGACTTTGCTGTTGTTCTCTATGCTTAAAATGTCCTCCTTGCCCCTCTGTCCATGGAATTCACACCCATTCTTTAGAATTCCAACTCAAATGCCACTTTTTCCTTGAAGCATTCCCTCATCCCTTCTGTAAGAAATAACTTTCCGTCTTGAATTTCTCATAAGTAGTATTTTGTTTTAGAAATCTCTAATGTGCTTATTACCTAATGATGGATTATAAAATATCCGCGTTTGTATCTTCTTTTACCTCTTAAATGTAACTCTGTGAGGACAAGGGACCATGTCTTAAACTTTTTATCTCTTCTACAGTGTAGGTGCTTAATGAATGTTCATTGAATAAATGAATGTTTCGAGTATTTAAGACAACATGGATTATTGATTGTACAAGTAGCATCTCATCTTAACAGACTCAGTGAAATAAAGATCGTTTCATTGTATACATATGTAGTTGAAAATGGAAATGTAATGCTGAAGTATGCAGCCAGGGCTGTTGTTTTCTAAGTTAACTGTTTGGTTTTCTGTTATTGTTAATGCACCCTAGCTTAACCATCCTCTTCTTCCACTTTGTTAATCATCTGCTTTCAATCCAACTTCTGTCATTTTTATGATTCTCAGAGAAAGTACTTATCCCTTTCTCCATTCAAACTTTCATCAAACATGTCAAGTTTGAAGAATGTTTTATATTGCATTCAGGTACAGGCATGCCCTATGTAATGTTACCTCAACCCAGTGTTATTTTGCAATAACATTATTAAAATGATATAATGAGATTCTTCTGAATATAGTTTGAATGATTATTGAAGATTCAAATTGGATGGTTAACCATGAGCCAAGTTAGTACTAGAGCCCTGCTTGGCACTAACTCACTTGAATTTATTCTAACATTGTTTCACTTAATGTCGTTTTTTGGAGGATTTAAAGAACTAGTCTGGGTAGGCCCATACAGTTAGGCCATGCTAAAACATCTTTGATGAAGAGCTTGACTAATACATGGATGAGGACTTGTAAAGGGATCTGTTCTACAGGTTTTTCATTTAATATAATTAATTATAACGAGGTCAGCAAGGAATAATTACTCTGGGCCATCTGCTAGGACATGGAGAATAGCCTTGTTGGTGCTTTTATGATGCTGTTTATTAAAATGATATTGTGTATGATGATGTTTAAAATGTCTCCTTTGCCACATCTAGGTCCATAGCCCAGTTGGTGGCATGTCTGGCAGTAGTTCACGGTCAGGGTCTGTGGGGGGATTGACCATGAAATCACAACTTCAGATCATTGGTAAGTCTTTGAAAAGATAGTCATTTGCTTTTTTTCTCTTAAGTTGAAAAATAACATTGGAAGAAGAATAATTTGCCTCTTCTATTTATTAAATGTTTTCAAGGTATAAATTGTGTTTAAATCATAAAAAGGCTGAAAATCATTTGTGTACTGTTATAGCTTCCTCAGCTAGATTGTAAGCTCCTCCTGGGCAAGGATGACTCATGTGTCTCTGTATTTCCAACAATACCTAACAGAGGGCCTTGTATTTGGTAAATATTTATAGATTGGCCTGCTTCTTGTTGAAGAGTTTAACTTTTTGTTTTTTCTACAATAGTTTAATACTAGTAGAAAAAATAAATTTAAAATAAGATTTTGTTCTGCCATTAACTTGCAATGTGACCATGTCCAAATGCTGTTGACTCTGCCTTTGTAATGTTTCATTTTTTTCCCTTCTTTTTACTCCTGCTGAATCATCATACTTTATATCTTCATCTTCTTCTAGCATTTTGCCTGGATTCTGTACTTGGTACTTACTGTACTCTTCTTTTGTTTTGTGTTTTATTGTAAATTTCTTGAGAATAGTCTTCTACAGCAGTAGTGTCAAACTCAGATAGAAATTCCCAGAAGGCTGCATGTTGACTTAGAAAGTCACAAATTAACATTATCTATTTTGTATTGCATTTTTATTTTGATAAACATTTCCCAATTACATTTTTATTTTTTTCATAATTTTTTTTATTCATCTTGTGTTTCTTCAATCATTCTGTCATCATAGTTATCCCAAGTATCCTGCTCCATCCTAAAGAGCCATCCCATATGACGTATGATATTTTTTTAGAGAGGGAAAAAACCCCAGCCAGCTGATTGATACATTGAAAAAGTCTGAAAATATGTTGTATGTATAACACCTGTGGATCTCCCACCTCCATGAAAGGGGAGGCTTGGGAATGTCCTTTCATATCTCTTCATTTGAGTTCTGCTTGATCTTTATAATTTGCTACATTAATTTTTTATTTTTTTGGTGTCTAGTTCTTTCCATTTATATCATTGTAATAATTGTGTATATTTTTTCTTGGCTCTGCTTACTTAACTCTGCATCAGTTCATGTTGATTTTTACGTGCTTCCCTGTATTCATCCTATACATCATTCTTAGCACACAGTGACAATACTTCATTACATTCATGCGCCACAGTTTGGTTAGCAATTCCCCAGTTGATGAGCATCTATTTTGTTTCCAATTCTTTGTTATCACAAAAAGTGCTATTATAAGTATTTTGGTATTATATGGGAACTTTCTTCATATTGATGACTTCTTTGGAATATGGGCCTAGCAATAGAATATCTGGGTCAAAGAATACATAGACATTTCAGACACTTTACTTAAATAATTCCAAATCACTTTGCAAAATGATTTTACCATTTCACAGTTTTACCAACAACATATTAGTGTATCTCTTATCTTACAACCCTTTCAGCACTGACTTTTGTCATTTTTTGGGGTCATTTTTGCTAATCTATAGGGTGTGAGGTAAAACCTCAGGGTTATTTTGATTTGCTTTTCTCTTATAATTGGTGATTTTAGAGCATTCTTTCATTATTTGTGAATACTTTGCAATTCTTCTTTTGAGAACTGTTTGTTCATATCCTTTTACTAGTTATCTGCCCCCAGTTATATTTTAATTTGGTTCTGGTGCACTCAGGCTTCCCTGAGTTTGACACCTCTGTTTTAGAGAGGTAGCTTTATGTGTTAGAATGATAGTCTTGGATTCAGGAAGGCCTGGACTTGAATCCCTCCTCAAGACACTTCTTATGTGATCCTGGGCAAGGAACTTCACCTTTCTCCTTCCCAGTTACCATGTCTGTCGCATGGGAATAGTAATAGCACCTATCTCCCAGGGTTGTTGTGAGCATCAAATGAGAATGTATGTAAAGTGCTTTGTGAACCTTAAAGTATTATATTGAGGTGAGCCTTTTATGATGATGATGATGATGATGATTCACCCTGAGTTCCTAACAGTCCTTTGCATCAAATAGATGCTTAACAAAGGATTTTTTAAAGTGAATTAAGAAGAGGAAAGAGTTTTTTTTCTGGAGAAATTATTGAGATTTGGTGACCTTGGATAGGTGTGTGAGATCCATCCCCTCAGGAAAGAAGAGATGAAAGAGAGGAAGACTTCTTCACTCTTTCGTGATCCTTCAATGTCTGTTGACATTGTCTGTTGACAAAACCTGCTTCCAGTAGATGTATTTCATACTGCAGAAAAGATTAGGACCACTTGCTTATTTCTAAGGTCTCTCTTTTTAAAAAATTTATCTATTTTTAGTTTTCACCATTCACTTTTTGTTTTGTTTTATTTTGTTTTGTTTTTTGGTAATTGGGGTTAAGTGACTTGCCCAAGGTTGCACAGCTAGTAAGTGTCAAGTGGAATTGTCTTAAATCATTGCATTGCTGAGAGAGGAGGTAAGTCTGTCAAAGTTGGTCATCGCACAATGTTGCTTTTACTGTGTACAACGTTCCCCTGGTTCTGCTCACTTCACTCAGCATCAGTTCATTAACTCTTTACAGGTTTTTCCGAAATCTACCTGCTTATCGTTTCTTATGGAACAGTAGTATTCCATTACATTCATGTACCACAACTTGTTCAGCCATTCCCCAGTTGATGGGCATCCCCTCAATTTCCAGTTTTTGCTACCACAAAAAGAATTGCTATAAATATTTTTGTACACGTTGGTCCTTTTCCCTTTTTTATGATCTCTTTGGGATACAAATCTAAGGGCTCTTCTGTCACCAAGATGCAGTGATTCATTTTCTTGTCCGCTATGATCAAGATACTGCAAAAAACAGTGGGGTCCAAAATGACCCTTCTGTGTACCTATGCATTTCTTTGTTGACATGCCTAAGTTGGCCAGAATAGCTTTAGGCTGGTTACTCAGGTCCTAATCCTGAAGCATGAGTGATTTTTTAAGAAATAGGAAGTATAAACTAATGAATGTTGTGCTGAGGAGACAGTTTAGTAAATGGGGCCTTTATCACTGTACAGGTGGTTGGCAAGATTTTGTTTTAGCTTTGGAAATAACTTCAAGAAGCATTTTGGCAACAGGAATGTTTATCATTCATAATTTTTATTAGCATATTTCTCCATAGTTATTTTGTATCAAGAGCTCAATCAAAAGAACATAGTAATACATATATAATATGCTGCTCAACTTTATATCAACATCTGTAAACACTGCAAAGAAAGTCCTCAGAAGTCACTAGGAATGATTCATTAGAAATGCTTAAAATCTTTCAGTGACTTCTTATGGCCTGCAGAAGTGGTCCTTAACCTGTTGATGTTATTAGTTCATCTCTAAGCTTGAACTATGTAGATGAAGGGAGAAGTATTGAGAGTACTGGGAGATTAGGGAAGCCAAACCCCTCCTCGCCTGTAAAGGGAAGAGGGAAGGAAGTAGTTAAATAAGTCCTGTTCCTACTAATTTCTCCTTTTACCTCAAGCTGCTAAAAGAAAGCACTTTCCTGAAAAAGTCAAATTCCCCCATCTCCCAAACACTGTTTTGGAGGTTCTTAAAGTTATTGTTGAAGAAATAAGAAATTTTTTTTTTAAGCTAGGCAGTGGGGTTAAGTGACTTGCCCAGGGTCACACAGCTAGTAAGTGTCAAGTGTCTGAGTTCACATTTGAACTCAGGTCCTTCTGACTCCAGGGCTGGCACTCTATCCACTGTACCACCTAGCTGCCCCGGTAAGAAAGATTTTTTAAAATTCATTTTAATTTTTGAGTTATTTGTGTTGAGGCATCAGAGGGTAGTGGAGTATAAGGAACTGTTTGACTTTTATTTGCCTCCTCTGACACTTAAAATCCATGACTATAGACTGATCATGTTATCTCTCTGAGCTACCCTTTCCTTATCTGTTTTTTTTTTGGGGGGAGGGCAATTGGGGTTAAGTCAGTTGCCCAGGGTCACACAGCTAGTAAGTGTCAAGTGTTTGGTCTGAGGACAGATTTGAACTCAGGTCCTCCTGACTTCAGGGCCGGTGCTCTATCCACTGCCATCTACCTGTCCCCTACCCTTTCCTTATCTGTAAAATGGGGATAGTACCTATAGCATCTACCTCTCCTGGTAATGTGGAGATCAAATTAGATAATGTATGTAAATGCTTTACAGACTTTAAAGTGTCATGTTAATTTTTTAGTCACTATTATCCTGTAAAATATCATTTGAATACTTGGTTAAATAAAAAATGATGGCTAAAGTTTTATAAAATAGAACCACATAATTAGCTATTTCTCTGTGCCTTAAAATTTGAGGATTCCTACATTCTTTTAAAAAAATTGTATGAGAAATTTCGTTTTTCCTTAGATAAAATTACAGAAATTATTTTAATTAATAGTAGTATATATATATTTCCTCAGCTATCATTGATTATACCAACAATAAATTATAATTTTAATATCGCTGTCCTTGGGAGTGATTGTCTCACTGGCCTTTGCCTTGTTAGCTTTCCTTAAAAACTTGTTTTTTTCTCCTGACTTATCTATTTCTGTTAGGAGAAGTAATGCCATTCACTCAGTTATTCTGCTAAAAACCTCAGGCTGTTTTTCATTGTTCTCTCCCCCTCACCTCCTACATTTAATTGATTGCCAAGTCTTAATATATTTTGCGTCCATTCCTTCTTATTTTTACTACCACCATCCTTGTCCAGGCCCTTATTACCTTACTTCCTACTTAAGACTACTGAAGTAACCATCTAATTAATCTCTCCATCTCTTTCATATTGCTGACATATTATGTACAACTCTTCTTCACTCAGTTTAAAGCCCTTCAGTGGGTTCCTGTCATCCACCAAATGAAGTCCCTGCTCATCCTGACAATTGAGTTATGAGTAATCTAGTACCACTGTATCATTTCAACTTTATCTTACTATGCCTCATAATGAACACTAAGTGCTAGCTAAATGTGACTACTTGCTTACACATCCTTGTGTTTTCCTGGCTTTGTAACATTGACCATAATATTC